GGAAATTGAATTAATCCGTTCCACACACCCAAAAATATTAAATAAAAAATACATTTAATACAAAATACTACTCCTATTTTTCATACATTACCGTATGTATGAAAAATAGGAGTAGTATTCTGTATTAAATGTATTTTATCTGCATCACCGGTTCCAGATTTTCCTTTCACACATTTCACTGCCTCTGTTATGTGACAGCCAGTCAGAACCAGTCAGTTACAGTCAGGCAAGCATTCACAGGCAGTCATAACCAAAGGCTGTCAAGAATTCACAGTTTTGGTAGCAACCGGTTTGGCATTTCAGGTCAGTCACACATTCACAGTCAGCCATTCATAGTCAATCAGCCTTTCACAGTCAATCAGGCATTCACAATCAAATCAGACTTTCACAGTCGCAACCAGTCAGTCAGTAAACAATTAGAGTTTAATATCAGGCGCTCAGGCAGGCTTCATCCTGATCCATCAGCTGGTAGCAAGGAAGCCCACCATATTAATACTGTCCAGATATGGCTGGGAGGGGGTACAGCTGGGAGATCCGGTGTGGGGGGATGGGGGGATGGAGGTAGCGGGGAGAGTGAGGGATGGGGGGATGGAGGTAGCAGGGAGAGTGAGGTATGGGGGGATGGAGGTAGCGGGGAGAGTGAGGGATGGGGGGATGGAGGTAGCGGGGAGAGTGAGGGATGGGGGGATGGAGGTAGCGGGGAGAGTGAGGGATGGGGGAATGGAGGTAGCGGGGAGGGTCTGGTGTGTGGGATGATGGGGAGTTGGGGAGGGACTGGGGGGTGACCAGTTCCTGTATTAGTCTTAGTTGGAAGCTGGTCCACCCACTCTTCCACCCATCCTGCTACTCATCTGCCCACCCACTGTCTCCTGACTGCCCTGTAGGCCTACTGTGAAACTGTACCAAAAACGTTTGAATTTTAGTTTGTTTCTTCGTTGTGCGCTGCTTCATTATACTGTAATATCTTTCATACCCTTTAGGTGTCGATAATAATTTGAGTTGGGGGAATCACCATCCCCCACACCACTGACACCATCCCCCACACCACTGACACCATCCCCCACAACACTGACACCATCCCACCACCACTGACACCATCCCACCACCACTGACACCATCCCCCACACCATTGACACCATCCCCCACACCACTCACACCATCCCCCACAACACTGACACCATCCCCCACAACACTGACACCATCCCACCACCACTGACACCATCCCACCACCACTGACACCATCCCACCACCACTGACACCATCCCCCACACCATTGACACCATCCCCCCACACCACTCACACCATCCCCCACACCACTGACACCATCCCCCACACCACTCACACTATCCCCCACACCACTCACACCATCCCCCACACCAACTAAATGGGTAGAACACCTGGAGAGAAATGATATAATATCAGACAGACAGTATGGTTTTCGATCAGGAAGATCCTGTGTATCGAATTTACTCAGTTTCTATGATCGGGCCACAGAGATATTACAGGAAAGAGATGGCTGGGTTGACTGCATCTATCTGGACCTAAAAAAGGCTTTCGACAGAGTTCCACATAAGAGGTTGTTCTGGAAACTGGAAAATATTGGAGGGGTGACAGGTAAGCTTCTATCATGGATGAAAAATTTTCTGACTGATAGAAAAATGAGGGCAGTAATCAAGAGGCAATGTATCGGAATGGAGAAATGTCACAAGTGGAGTACCACAGGGTTCAGTTCTTGCACCAGTGATGTTTACTGTGTACATAAATGATCTACCAGTTGGTATACAGAATTATATGAACATGTTTGCTGATGATGCTAAGATAATAGGAAGGATAAGTAAAATTTAGATGATTGTCATGCCCTTCAAGAAGACCTGGACAAAATAAGTAGATGGAGCACCACTTGGCAAATGGAATTTAATGTTAATAAATGTCATGTTATGGAATGTGGAATAGGAGAACATAGACCCCACACAACCTACATATTATGTGAGAAATCTTTAAAGAATTCTGATAAAGAAAGAGATCTAGGAGTGGTTCTAGATAGAAAACTATCACCTGAGGACCACATAAAGAATATTGTGCAAGGAGCCTATGCAATGTTTTTTAACTTCAGAATTGCATTTAAATACATGGATGGCGATATACTAAAGAAATTGTTCATGACTTTTGTTAGGCCAAAGCTAGAATATGCAGCTGTTGTGTGGTGCCCATATCTTAAGAAGCACATCAACAAACTGGAAAAGGTGCAAAGACATGCTACTAAGTGGCTCCCAGAACTGAAGGGCAAGAGCTACGAGGAGAGGTTAGAAGCATTAAATATGCCAAAACTAGAAGACAGAAGAAAAAGAGGTGATATGATCACTACGTACAAAATAGTAACAGGAATTGATAAAATCGACAGGGAAGACTTCCTGAGACCTGGAACTTCAAGAACAAGAGGTCATAGATTTAAACTAGCTAAACACAGATGCCGAAGAAATATAAGAAAATTCACCTTCGCAAATAGAGTGGTAGACGGTTGGAACAAGTTAAGTGAGAAGGTGGTGGAGGCCAAGACCGTCAGTAGTTTCAAAGCGTTATATGACAAAGAGTGCTGGGAAGACGGGACACCACGAGCGTAGCTCTCATCCTGTAACTACACTTAGGTTATTACACTTAGGTAATTACCACTCACACCATATGAGTGGTGTACTGAGGCAGCAGCGGCATCTCATTCAACATGCCCGACAAAAACAAATAGAGGCTAGCTAACCCCCCTAATACATCCCCCTCACCACTGACACACACCCATTTATTATGCATTCTTCATTTTGAATAAGGAATATGATAGAGCGATGTGTTACAAGCCACTGAAATGCTAAAATTTTCTCTCTTAATTTTGTGAAAAGTATCGAGTTATAGTATCCAGGCAGCCATGTGGTGTGGAGTCAGCAATCGCCATAATTGATGGGTTGACCGGCCTCAACTCGCACCCTCCTGTTCCCTGATGCCTTACCCCCCCTTAATACATCTCCCCTCACCACTGACATCATCATTTATTATGAACTCTTCATTTTGACTATAGAATATGATAGAGCAATGTGTTACAAACAACTGAAATGGTAACATTTTCTCAGCTAATTTGGTGAAAAGCAGACAGTGTGTGAACTTATCAATGTGGAAGCATGGCGGTGCCAGCCACATGTTGCCAACTATGTAGCTGGTAACTGTGATAACCAGAGCTCACCACTGACCCTACCTGCCTTCCCTGCCACCACCCAAGAATGCTCACCCCCCTAGAACCCACTCATGACCACCCAAAGCCCGCCCAAAAAGACCTCTAACCCACCCGAACTAACCCAAGATCGCACACCCACCTGAACCCACCCAAGCCCGCCCAAAACTACCCATCCCCACCTGAACCCACCTGCCTGAATTCACCCAAGACTGCCCACCTGCCCAAACCCACCTAAGAAACCCACCCAAGTCTGCCCACATGCCCAAAAACCCACTCGGACCCTCCCAAGCCTGATCAAACCCATCCAAGCCCTCCCACCTACCCAAACCCACCCAAGTCCACATACCAGACAGTTAACCATTCAGCCAGCCCACTTGCCTGCCCACCCACCTACCAGCCAGTTAACCAGGCAGCCCACCCACTATCCATCCTGCTGCTCTCCCAAATATGACTAAACAGTTACCAACCTTTTAAAACCTCTGGATTTAGCAAATCTTTGGATTTAACAACCTGGGTACAGACCCATATAGGTTCTTAAATGGAATGGCTAGTGTACTTCATTTTGAATAAATGTTTGGGAAAAGTACAATGGAACCTCGATTGACAAATGCCCCTCTTTCCAAATTTTTCGTTTTTTCGAGCTCAATTTCTTTGTAAAATTTGCCTCGGTATTTGAGGCTTGCCTCACTTCTCAAGTTTGTTGATACACATATAGATAGATCGAGCGCGTGGTGCACCTCAGTTTATGAGTGTGTCCTGCCTAGTGATGACCGCGCTTGAATTCTTTGTGAAGAATTTCATTGTGTGCTTTCTTGGTTTCTGAACATAAAAGTAATTATTATATATCATGCCATGGGTCCCAAGAATGTAAGTGGTAAAGTTCAACCTTACAAAATAGTTGTGAGGATGATAATAGAGAAAAAACTACATCTCATTCATAGTGAATGAATGTGATGTCTCACTATAGACAAGTGTTAAAACGTAGGGAAAAACAAGTGACTTTAGACAGATTCTTAGTAAGGCAAGCAAGCAGTGAACCACAACCAGGTCCTAATGGTATGCGAGCAAAATATAGGAGAGAGTACCCCAGAAATGTCATCACTGTCTGATGTTATAATGGAAGGGGACTCTCCTTCCAAACACTAACATTTCTCCTCCTCCCCCTCCTCACTGCTTTCCAGACTTCAACAAGAGTCCTCAATAAAGGTAAGATATACTTGTACATATTATATTAAAAAATATGAGTAGTAGTATTATGCACAAAACGTATTTTTTGTTAATATTTTTGAATGTGTGGAACGGATTAATTCAGTTTACATTATTTCTTATGGGAAAATTCCTTTTCGTTTTTTAATTTTCGGTTATCGAACCGTCTCTGGGAACGGATTAAATTTGTAAACAAAGGTAACACTGTATTTAATTTATATAGCTTGCAAAATACTGCAAAAGCAACTTATAAATCATCAGGAGACTCCTTTTAATACACTGTACAATATACCGAAAAACATTTTCATTATATAATTTTGGCAAAAATTAAGTTTACTTAACCTAACATGTTTTGTGAGAAGAATCTGCTTAATTAATTTTACAAGAAGAAAAACCCCATGCAAATCATAAATGTTATCTTGAGTATGCTGTCAATGGCAATACTTACATTAAACTAACTGAATAAGCACAATGTTAATTTTCTATTTTTATACTAATACAATGATAAAATGCTTATCAGGCATGAAGCATCTTTTACTATGCAATAAACTTCAAGAAAGATGTTATATACACTTACCCAAGTCTTCATTGCATATCTTTCCACTCCAGCCCTTCGGGCATTTGCAATGGAAATCATTGATGTGGTCTGTACACTGTCCTCTCACACATGGGTTGGAAGCACACTCATCAATCTCTGCTTGACACAGCTTGCCTGAGGAAACATATGTAGGATGTAAGTGGCTTTTTGCCAAAAATAAGGCTCTGAGTGTAAATTAATGCTTATTTCAGAGTCAATTGCTTGGTTGCTTCCCTGACCCACTGGCAGGTAGTAATGGCTTCTTTACCCACCATGACCTCTCTGGACTTTCAAAATAGTCTGATCACATAGCTGGGGAAAGGAGACAAATCTTAACTTGTTACCGACAAGACACTGGCTCATTCTTGTGCAAAAGAACATACATTATATAAACTGTTATCCACACTTCCGTGGAAATAAACATTCCATTCACCTGGGCTGTACGAGTCTCAAACCGTGGACAGCACACATGTGACGCCGACGCTCTATCAGGATGCTGCTTCTGGACACTTTCCTTTTTAAGACTGCTCATAGTCCAGTCGATAAAGCATCGGCCTCACACACGTGGGATCCACGGTTCAAGACCCATACAGCCAAGGTATATGGAACATACATTATACTTAATAAAAAAAACCACAAAGTGAACATTGAAATTGACAAATGTAAATGCTTGATGTACTTACATCAAGCTGGGTAATCAGTCACTCCCTCAACCACCACAAAGCGGCACCACCACTACCACAACAAAGTTGGCAGAGCCATCAACCTCACTTGTTTCCAAGTTAACCAAATTACTCAACAACAACATGACAAGAAGGAATGGACACAGCTAAGGAAGTGGCACAGAAGGCTTTATTTCACTTAATGTCCAATTTTTGAACCAAGGCTCCTCAGTTGTTATATTGAGCAAACTTCGAAGAAGGAAATTGCTACCTGTGTTAAACGTAATGAAACGTCTCTTTCTGATAGAGCCCCAGTGCCCCTCTGAAGTTACCTTGCTGAGATGGCTCCCCACTACTGGATCATATCAGTTGTAGGAGTCCTGTTTGATCTAACTGGGATCACAGTCAGAACCAGGGCCCTAACAGAATAGGCAATTATTAACATCATCCTCACCAGAAAAGCATCCAGAAAATCAGCGAAGCAATTCAGACAGCTGCAAGGTTCATAGAAAATTAAGAACTGAAACAGCCAAACAATTCTGCAAACGATTAATTCAAAATGATTGGATAACTCAAAACTAGTTCGAACCCATTAGTACTAATGGCCATCACCATGTGATTTGGAGCTCCCAGCCAAAAGCCAGTTCCCAGTCAATCCCGTCACTGATGTTGACTCGCGTAGTAGTGCTCCCTGGATGCCCAATAGCAGCGGATTCCGCTGCTGCTGCTCGGCTAAATGCCAGCCATTCATTGAGCTTTATCCTGAAGGGACCTTTTGCTTGTATATCATTCCATTCTTTTAAACCTTAACCCCTGTGAAGCACTGAGTTCATTGTGACATTCCCCTTGTGTGCACAAAATCAAGTGTTCGCAATTTTTTTTTTTTTTTTTATCTCTGTAAAATGATAAATTCCCTTCCCTGAACATGTACATGTAAAAAAAAACTGAAAAACTCCACTTACTTTTGCTGTGGGGACGTGGAGAAGGGGGTGTCACAAGCTGGTGACTTTTTTTTTTTTTTTGCAGCGATATTCCTGCGCGGGCCCTAAGCCTCTGGCTGGCCCACTGGGCGGCCCTTAAGCCTCTGGCTGGCCCACTGGGCAGGCCCTAAGCCTCTGGCTGGCCCACTAAGTGTTGCTTGTTTCTGTTTTACTTGGGCGGAGTATGAGTATTTATTACTCGTATGGTCACTTCAGTAAGATTTTGCCATGTGTTTAACAACTTCTTCTACTCTGTTGAATCTAAGTTGAAATCTTAATGGGTTTGTAACTGTGTACTGTGTTAGATAATGTTCCAGTGGTCTGTCGGGCATTTCTCCACAGTATTGACATTTCCTCTCATCTTCCAGAACCTGTAAGCCTATTTCCCATGCACATGGGTATCCAAGCCTGATGCGATGTAAGTGTACTTCTGTTGCTCTACTGCTCCCTTTCATCAAACTAAGGGGTTCATAGTTGGTTGAATTCTTGTACCAACCCGCAGATCCTGATGTTGCAACTGCTGTGTTGTGGTCTTTTGCATTGCTCTGTTTCTAATTACTTTCTTAATCTGTGATAGACTCTTGTGGTATGTAAATGTCTACATTTCTTCTCTTAGTTGCAAGTTTTGCAGCTTCGTCTGCAATGTCATTTCCTATTATTCCCACATGACTTGGCACCCAGTTAATAAGTACCAGTCAGCCTTGTTGTTTGAGTGTTTGCATTAATGATATGACATTTGTGATCAGATGTATGTTATCACATATGTGTTCTTGTTGAAAGGTTTCAATGATGGTTCTCGAATCTGTATGTATGATAACATGTTGTCGGTGTTCAGCAAGAGCATGTTCCAAAGCCTTTTGAATGGCTAGCATCTCTGTTTGTAAAGTCGAACACCCATTTGAGAGCCTCCAACTATTTACAGAGTTTCCTGCTTTAACTGCAGCTCCGGTTTCTTGTCCCTGCTGGTCTACTGATCCATCTGTGTAGTAAGTGAAGCTGTCGGATGCCATGTTTGCTTCTATATGCATCTGTGAAATGTTACGTAGCAGATGAGGATTTGTCTGGTTCTTTTTTCCTTCAATAACCATAATCTTAAAGTCTGCTGGCGGAGATTCCCTCTGAGCTGGTCACCTGTGCGTGAAGTTCCCAGAGGCGGTCGTGCGCGCCATTCAAGCACCGCGATTTGCCACAAATATATTTTCAATGATTTGTTCTATGTATTTCCAATGCAGTTTCATTTGTTTGTTTTTTATCGTATATAATGCATATTTGTGTTCTTTACAATATGTAAACTGTAAAACATTCATAATTTTCCATGGAACTGTGATACATGTGTCAGTAATGTGTCCATAATAAATGTGGACACATTAAATGGAGGAGAAATATTAGTGCGTCTGGCCTTGAGGGCAGCTGCCACCAGCTGACTGTGTGAGTAGCTACGTCTTTGTGCCTTTACTCACCATACAAGCTTAGATGTACAATTATGGTGAACAAAACATGTAAATACTTATATATAACGTCTATGTATAGTGAATAAATGCAAAAACTGTATTGTGGGAGGAGAATGAAGGCGAGTGAGGTGTTGTTGAGGGAGGGAGTGGCAGCGAGTGGCTGGCTGGTGTGTGGCGGTTACTCCTCATTGCATTTTGACTCACAATACCAACTTAGTGGTTCGTTATGGTGAGCAAAACATGCATATACTTATATATAACCTGTGTATATAGTGTAATAACAGCAAAACTATTTGTTATTGTTTTATGAACATAATAATTGAATCACTAATATGCACACCATAATTTTGAGAACAGCGATGGTTCACACATTTTATTATATAAATATATCACAATTCACTCTATTGAATAATATTACTGCAAAAAACTAAGAAAAAATCAATCGGAGACATTGAAATAATTAGGTAATAATACATTTGTGGCAACTGCCGCCTGACAGCTTGGGCGGAGTAGACCTTGTTTGGCGATGGCTCTGTCAACGCCCCTTTTTTGCCAGACTTCCCTACCCTATTGCGGCTAAAATATGCCCCCTACGATTTTTTTTTATTATTTTTTCCGTGATCAGGGAACAAAAATGAACATGAAGACGAAAGAATTTTTTGGAATTTTTGTTGTTGTGCCTGTGGGTGTTAAAGCCATTTGGACCCCTCGCGGTGTGAGGGTTAAGGCACTGTATACACCAGTTGAAATGTGCTCCTGGCGGTCCAGGTTCGAGTCACTTCTGGGGTATGGAGTTTTCATTTGCATATATGCTTGAGAGCATTCAAGTTTGTTCGCATTTGTATTGCTCACGTAGACCCCATAAAAATGAGGTGATTTGATGTAAAGCTGTGCCCAAGATTACCATCAAAGTGCCATCGGGGTGGTGGTTCAAATAGACTCGGCTATCACCACTGTCTTTTGGCCGTTCCTCGGTGGCTTGATTGTCTTAGTTGTCAGTCTGGCTCTGAGGCGGCCGGGTCAAACCCCGCCCCAGACAGTTCCCTTGCTGTCTGTGTGGAATGACCTTGCTGCTGACCGTGGCTTAACTGTCTGGATGGGATGTGACTGCTAACCTTAGCAGTCCGTGTGCAATGTGCGTGTGTGCTGATCTTCTTGAGGTTATCTTGAGATGATTTCGGGGCTTTAGTGTCCCCGTGGCCCGGTCCTCGACCAGGCCTCCACCCCAAGGAAGCAGCCCGTGACAGCTGACTAACATCCAGGTACCTATTTTACTGCTAGGTAACAGGGGCATAGGGTGAAAGAAACTCTGCCCATTGTTTCTCGCCGGCACCTGGGATCGAACCTGGGACCACAGGATCACAAGTCCAGCGTGCTGTCCGCTCGGCCGCACGGCTCCCGGCTTAACTGTCTGGGTGGGGTGTGACTGCTGACCTTGGCCTAACTGTCTGGGTGGGATGTGACTGCTGACCTTGGCCTAACTGTCTGGGTGGGATGTGACTACTAACCTTGGCCTAACTGTCTGGGTGGGATGTGACTGCTGACCTTGGCCTAACTGTCTGGGTGGGATGTGACTGCTGACCTTGGCCTAACTGTCTGGGTGGGATGTGACTACTGACCTTGGCCTAACTGTCTGGGTGGGATGTGACTGCTGACCTTGGCCTAACTGTCTGGGTGGGATGTGGCTGCTGACCTTGGCTTAACTGTCTGGGGTGGGATGTGACTGCTGACCTTGGCCTAACTGTCTGGGTGAGCAGTTTATTTGGGGTTATATCCTTGGGAAAGTCTGTAGTTCGACCTTGAGAGGGGGCTGCGATACAAGTCAAGAGTATACATGCTGCAGGCTTCCTGTCCCCGAAATATTTTTTATGACAGAGTGCTGGGTAGACTGGACACCATGAGTGTAGCTCTCATCCTGTAACTACACTTAAGTAATTACACTTAGGTAATTACTCAGTACTTCGGAAGTGAGTAATAATCAATGAAGCAGCCCATGGTACACAGCACAACTTCACTCTCGTTGCACCAGGTACAAATAGATTTTCACTTCCTGTTTCTTTGTTCTGTGCTTGCAAATAGCGCACTCACGTACACCCTTGGCTTTAGTACCTGTAGGTGATATGTAGCCAAGCTTGTGAAGCGTAAGGTAATCTTGAAAAGATTATAGGAAAAGATCAATTTGTTAAGTAGTCTTGAAAAGATCGCTTTGTAAGGTCCCTAATGGGAAGAGATTCAGTCATTCTGGAAGAGATTCAGTCAATCAGGAACAGATTCAACTATTCTTTTATTTATTTATTTATTTATATACAAGAAGGTACATTGGGGGTTAATGTACAGAAAATATAGAAATTAAGTTGAATTTACATTCTTATAAAGCCACTAGCACGCATAGCATTTCGGGCAAGTCCTTAAACTAACAGATAATTTTTTGATAATTTAACAGTAAAATTGACAAAAAATGTTTACATGTACTTTATAGTTATACTTTACAGGTACAGATAATTTTAAGTAGAATGATTACAGTAAAATTTACAAAAATGTTTACAGTTACATTGCAAGAAATTTTGACACAAAAGCAGATTAGAATAATACACAATAATAACAATACACAACAATGAAACAAGGATTACTAGGTACATGAGGATAACATTTCAGGGTTATACATTGGTTCACTGAAGCACAATATGAGGATCATTACAAGGAATAATGCAGTAGAATATGCACTCAATACAACAACCATGATATCAGATAATATCTAAGAGTATAATGGTAAAGTAATATGGCTTAGGTACAAATATTGGGGGATTGAGTAGCACTAGATACAGTGTGAAGATAAAGCACTTGGTAGAAAACTATGAAGATGAAATTAGGTACTTTTTGGTTTTATTTTTGAATAAGGCAAAAGTTGGACAGCTTTTCAAATCACTAGGGAGTGAGATCCATATACTAGGTCCCTTTATTTGCATAGTGTGTTTACACAGATTAAGTTTGACAATGGGGATATCAAAGAATTTTTGGGGATTTTTTTTTTTTGTTGCGCCTGGCGGTGTTGCAGGCCAAAAAGCCCTTAGCGGTTTAATGGTTAAGGACCCCTTAGTAGCTTAACCACTGTGATGAGCTGTGTTTATTGGGACATTCCACCTGTGCACCGAAAGTCAAGTTTTCCAAAAAATTTTTTTGATCTTTGTAAAATGATAAATTCCCTTCCCTGAACACGTACATGTAAAAAAAAAAAAATAATAAATTCCTCTTACTTTGGCTGTGGGGACATGGAGAAGGGGCGTGTTTGCTTTGCGGCCGTGCATGAGGTTCCCAGAGGCGGTCGCCTTGCCACAAATATATTATCAATTATTAGTTGTATGTATTTCCAATGCAGTTTTATTTTTTTTTATCGTACATGATGCATATTTGTGTCCTTTACAATATGTATACATTAGAACGTTCATAATTTTCCATGGAACTGTGACTCATGTATCAGTAATGTGTCCACAATAAATGTTTATTGTCACAATATTACTTGCTCAAAATTCACTAAAATTACATTATGTACAGTTTCACACACTACACAGTAACACTGTATTACACACTCAGTGCTTTGGAAGTGAGTGATAATCAATGAAACAGTTCATGGTACACAGCGCGACTTCGCTCTCATTGCACCAGATAAAAACAGATTTTTGCTTCCTGTTTCTTAGTTCTGTGTGCTTGCAAACAACGCACTCATGTACACCCTTGGCTTTAGTACTTGTAGGTGGTATGTAGCCAAGCTTGTGAAGTGTAAGGTAGTCTTGAAAATATTATAGGAAAAGATCAATTTGTGAAGTAGTCTTGAAAAGATTGCTTTGTAAGGTATGGTTGAAAAGATTTAGGTATTCCCGAAGAGATTTAGCTATTCTTGAAAATATTTTTTTTTATATACAAGGTTCTTACATTCTTGTACAGCCACTAGCATACATAGTGTTATGGGCACGGACTTAAACCTATGTTCCCCGGAATACGAGCTGCCAAATCATTTAACAACCAGGTACCCATTTTGCTATTGGGTAAACTGAGGCTACAGTTAAGGCTGGTTGATGGGGTTCTGGGAGTTCTTCTACTCCCCAAGCCCGGCCCGAGGCCAGGCTCGACTTGTGAGAGTCTGGTCCACCAGGCTGTTGCTTGGAGCGGCCCGCAGGCCCACATACCCACCACAGCCCGGCTGGTCCGGCACTCCTTGGAGGAATAAATCTAGTTTCCTCTTGAAAATGTCCACGGTTGTTCCGGCAATATTTCTTATGCTTGCTGGGAGGACGTTGAACAACCGCGGACCTCTGATGTTTATACAGTGTTCTCTGATTGTGCCTATGGCACCTCTGCTCTTTGTCTGCTATACCGTTCTCAAAGTTCCTCTCTGCCTCTCTCCTTATTGACGTGTAGTTGTTTCTTGCATCTTTATATCACTGGTATGTTTGGGGGTTTGGCCTCTTTCTATAATGATTCCATGCTTGTGTCTTTTGATCTCTGGCCCTCTTGCAATTTCTGTTGAATCAACCCTGTTTCCCAGGTCTGCATGTCTGTTTTGGTATGAATGTTTGTGTCTTCAATGTATATTTTGCAAAATTTGGCATACATCTCATTTACTTCTTTGCCTAGCAACAAGTCTGTCCAATTATACCCATGAAAATTTTTTCTAAGTTCCCCATAGCGTCCTCTCTTAAAATCGAGTTTAACAACTGTTTCACTGTCCACATTCTCTACTAGATTATATCACATAACGTATTTAATGTCCAAGAGGACGTGATCACTCTTTCCCAAGGAAGAAAGGTATTGGATGTCAAATACCTCTTCTTCTTTCCTGTAATGTGTGTAATGATGCAGGATTATAATCCAAAAGGTTTCGGACAGGTTCTTAATCTTAATATTCCCCATAATATTCCCCACAGTCTCCGTGGTGTAGTGGTAAGACGACATTCGCCTGGCATTCTGCGAGCGCTTTGTCATGGGTTCGTATCCTGGCCGGGGAGGATTTACTGGGCACAATTCCTTAACTGTAGCCTCTGTTTAACGCAACAGTAAAATGTGTACTTGGATGAAAAAACGATTCTTCGCGGCAGGGGATCGTATTCCAGGGACCTGCCCGAAACATTACGCGTACTAGTGGCTGTACAAGAATGTAACAACTCTTGTATATATCTTAAAAAAAAAAAAAAAAAAAAAAAAAAAAAAAAAAAAAAAAAAAGTTAAGTGTAACAAGACACAGCCAACACTGCAGTAATCCCACTCATCACTCACTCACAAACCTGCATCAAGTCACAAATCTCCTACACTTTTCTAAACTTGGCATAGAAATCAATAACTGCAAATCTCCAAATTCATAAGGTAAACCCCTAAATGCAACACCTGTAAAAATTAGTAAACTATGAAAATGTTGAAGTGCTCTTAATTAAATCACATGTATAACAAATTAAATATCATTTACAGTAGTTATGTTTCTAAAAACATACAAAAAGTACTATATTAACTTGTACTGCAACAAATTTATTCATCCTCTCATTGAATTCTTAAGCAATAAACATTGTGGTATACAGTATTGCATTCCATTATAATTTTAAAAATGCAGAATACTTATGTACTGTACATTTAGGAGAGCATTCACCTGTATAGCCAGGGGTGCAGGAGCAAGTGAATGCTGCCACACCATCAACACACGTAGCACCATTAACACACGGTGAGCTGCCACAGTCATCAATATTCTCTTCACACTCAACTCCTGCACGAGATGCCAGTGGCAGCACATGCACAAGATGGGTTGAAGAGTTAGCAGGAAAAAAAATGGGATGATTACATGCAAATTTAATTTTGTAAAAGCTTTGATATAAAAGCATTTAGGATGTTAAAAGCATAAAATTAGTCTACAGTTTAAATACTGGGTTTAAGAATATATTATTGAATTTATACAATAAACAAGGCAATCAGGGATCAATATTTTAATCAATGTACTGTATACTAATTGTTATCCCTAATGTCAGTACTGTAAGTCATGCTTCCAACCCAATATATTACATGACTATAAATCTATGACAAGATCCTCAGAACTATAAAATGCTACATTAAAACTTAAGTACATTTACACAAAAACTCTAAGAATGTAAGGTATTGACTCTGAAACAGAAAAAGCTGATCTACTTCATAATGAACAATATTTACAAGTACTGTACATGTTTCAAGCTTTGTAATATAGAGCATTGAATACCATAAAAAGTCAGTTTCTCAGCAGAACCATCAGTGGCATCCCTCAGCTTAGGCACTGATTCATAAGAGCCTATATTAACAACCGGGCATCCTCTAACATTATTATACATTCAGAGAGCCAGATTCTGGTCCTAAAAGTACAGGACCAGAATCTGGCTCTCTCGCAGAGGTGAGGGAATCATGGGGATCAACAATATACCTGCCACCAAAGTGAACAGCACATAAAGTAAAGGTAACACTAAACAACAAGACCAATACTCAAAGAAGTGAATGAAACAATATAAAAATACAGTAACCAATACAGACGATAAGTCCCAATAATGTGGCTGGAGATATGATGACTAAACCACACACCAGAAGATGAGGAGACGACGACGTTTCGGCCCGTCCTGGACCATTATCAAGTTGATTGTGACCTAAACGTCATTGTCTCCTCATCTTCTGGTATGTGGTTTAGTCATCGAGGTAACCGATAGTTGACAACTGGTAACAATCCTAGCTTCAACCTTTCCTGAACACCACAGGTGGCAGCTTAGGCCAAGGAGGCTCCATCCCCAGCTTAATGTTTGCTAATGTACCATTGGATTCAAACCTCCAACCCCCGAGGAAGAAGACAACAAAAAAACACCATTGAATGTAATGAAACGCCATAATCTGGGCGAGCCGCAGAGGCTCCCTGGAGCTATTGGGCTAAGGCGAGATATTATTAGACTGGAACATTAGATATGGAGTGGTAGGATATTCAACCTACCATGGACCACAAGTCAGAACCTGGCTCCTTCAGAGAGGTTTCAGGGAGAAATGGCTCTGGAAAACCCACCTTGTGGTTGGGGGTTTTCCTTTTCTGCCATAGACTAGGGTTACACACCCAGAAAGGTAGGCATAACAATTCAAACCTCACATTGTAAGAAACTAACAATGAAAATCGAACAGAGAGGCAGAACTCCCTTCAATCCCAGAGAAACAAGCAAACATCACACTTCACCGCCATGCCACTCATCCATGCAGCCCTTCCCTCCCTGAGAGGGGGAGGGGGGAGCACCGGACTACGATTCACACCGGACACTGTTGGATAGTGGGAAAGTCCACATTCAGACGCACTTCCCCATGTATAAACTGGACTGTGTCATAGACTATAATGTGAACATGCGCCTCATCGATAAATGTGACATGATGCTTGGTGCAGTGGAGTGCGTGCGCAAGTCTGTGAAGTGGACGAAAAAATTCTTCTTCCATCTAATAGATGTTGCAGTGCTCAACTGCTTCAATATGTACCTGGTAAAATCTGGCAGAAGACCATCAATACGTACATTCAGTGCTGGTGTTGTGTCACAGCTGCTAGTAAAGTATGGCAAGGAGGACTCCATTGCATTGAGCGGGGTGCAAGCAATAATGCCACACGCAGCCCCAGACAGACTGAAGGGTAACGAGAACTTAGGAGTACACATGCTCGAGTATATGCCAGGCACAGCATTACGGGAGAAGGGTAAACGTGCATGTATAGTATGCAGGAACACTATCCGCAGAGAACAAAAGCAAAGATGCATCAGCACCTGGTGCATGGAGTGCAAGGTGCCACTCTGCCCCGTTGGATGTTTCGCAGCATATCACACACTCGCGGAGTACTGAGTGTGTTTATGTTGTGTGTATATATAGTGTGTGATACTGTATAGTGTGTATATAGACTGTAAATATAAATATATTAGCATGATACATTGGAAATACTGTATGTGCAGGATACGTGAACATATTTCTGATGCACGTAACACAGTGTCTACTGACAGTACGGATGTTTGACTGCCATAATTAGGTGTATGTGTTCATTATACATAGGATTGGCACGTAAAAACAAATAAATTGTATTTGGAACTGTGGGCAAAAAATTAACAAAAATATATTCGCGGCAGCGCGCACATCCTGCCCTGGGTGCCCTACTGGCCCTGGGAGCATACGCCATGGGCAAATGGGGAATGATGACGTCACGCGCCAACTTACGGACCCCATAGCAACCAAAGTAAGTACAATTTTGACTTTTCTTTACTATACCCATACTCAGGGAAGGGTTTTTGACACTTTCAAAACAAAAAATAATTTTTTTAAGAGAATTTATTTCCTGCACACTGGGGGGGGGAGGGGTTTGTCATATTTGGAAGCCTAGCAGTTGAGGGGTTAACCCCTAAGCTGTTCTGGGCTATTTGGCCTTCAACACCCACAGGCGCAAAAAAATAAAAAATTAAAAAAAATTATTTTGTTATATAAAAGTGTTCATTTGTGTTCACTGATCACAGGAAAAAAAAAACATAGGTGGCATATTTTGGCCACAATAGGGCAGGGAAGTCTGGCAAAAAAGAGGCATTGACAGAGCGACCGTCAGAGGTGGTCAACTTCGCCACCACAACTGTCAGGCAGTTGCCATAAAGACATTATTAACTAATTACTTCAATGTCTCTGATTTATTTTTGTTTAAGTTTTTTTGCAGTAATATTATTCAATAGTGTGTAGTGTGATATATTTATATAATAAAATGTGTGAATCATCGCTATACTCAAAAATATTGTGATCATATTAGTGATTCAATTATTATATTCACAAAACAATAAACAAAGAGTTTTGTTGTTATTACACTATATATATATATATTATATATATATTATATAAATATATATATATATATATATAAAGTATCTACATGTTTTGTTCACCATAACTGTTCAACTAAGCTGATATAGTGCCCGAAGAGCATCGTGGCCATCCTTACACAGCATGACAAGTCATGCAGATGATGCCACCTCCCTCACCAAAATGGCTTCTCCCCACACTCCTTTTGCTGTTATTACACTATATATACACGTTATATATATAAGTATCTACATTTGTGTTCACTACAGCGAACCACTAAGCTGGTATAGTAAGTGCAGACAGCAACAGGTGGCCACACAGATTCAACAGACGACACTACAGCCCTCCCTCCCTCAACATTACTCCTTCCACAGCACAGTGCAAATTATCACAACAATCCTGCTATTATCAGAATCCTGATAATTTTTATCACAGATAGGGGTCTTCTGTAATACTATGATTGCTGAATAATACTAGTGACATATATTTTTTATATTTTAAGGCAATGCTGTGGTCACAAGCTGAACAGCAGCGCTGTGAGCTCATGCTGCATGCGCCAGCCTTGGTGGCTCACTCAGTACTGAGGCTTTCACACCCAGGAATGTTGCCTATGATTTAAAAAAAAAATGGCGTCTGTTTACAAGACAGAATGACAGAAATAATAGAAAAAGTAGAGGCATTGCTATCTTGGTGAAGAAGCTGGTGTGAACCCCGTGTAGCAGCGGGCCGTTTAAATCTTGCGTGGTACCCCAAAACATCATATGAAGGGATGCGCATTTTCGCGTTAGTTACTCAACACGTCATATGAAGTGTTGCACAGTTTAAGGGTTAGATTTAAATCTGGAAAGAAATTTGTACTGTCTAGCTATATCTTTAAATATGTAGTTAATGAAAGGCAATTTTTAAATTGATTGAAATAATAATATACGTATTATACTTAACTATTGTATTAATTTCTATCCTTACCTGTGTATCCTGGAGCACAACGACATATAAAGTGTGTGTCGGTGAGGTTGATACAGGACCCAGCATGCTGACAAGGACTGGAGAAGCAAGGGTTCTGCTTTTCACAAGTCACACCATAAAATCCTCCTGGACAAAGGCATCTGTACTTTCCACTTTCATGGCTGTTTAAAGAATTTACAAGTATATATATTTCCCATTCTGATAGGAGATAAGCAAATACAGAAATACAATATATAAATTATATGTCAACAGCTTCTCATTCAACTAGGACAAACAACAAAATACAAATGTCTGCATTGAGCAAGCAAACAATAAAATCAAAATAAAGTTTCATAGTGTATTTTATATTAACCACTGAACTGCGCCAACTGAGTATTTTTGGTTGGTGGGGAACTGCGCCAACGGAGAAAACATTTTTTTGTACCCATTCTAAATGTGTGTGTGGTTGGTTGTGTACAAAATGGACTGTTAGGACCTCCAGTGAGAGGCAGCCATCTTGGAAAAAATTCCCAGAATGCCCTAAGGCTGCTGGCTGGGTTAGTACTGAGTGAGCAACCATGTGTGGCGCACGTGCCTCTGGCTCCCAAACACCTGTCCGATGCGGTGTTGAAAGATCGCGCGCTGTCAGCGAAATTCAAACCTTATTGTTTGAAGAACATAAGGGTCATAATATTGGTGAAGCTAGGCGCAATAAGGACCTAACACAAAGGTCAGATGCAAGTGATACAGCACCTATGAGGACGATACAGCGAGCATATCCAGTTGTAGCTCTGAGTGCCACCCTTGCCCACTTATGCTATCTCCAATTTATATAAATGATACATCGCTGAATCATTTTTTGCATTCAGTGATGATGCATCTGATACAAGTAGCTTAGATGCACAGTGTTAGCGGCTTCCTATCTTATCTTTGAGGCTGGCTGAATCTCTTCCAGAATGCCAGAATCTCTTCCAGACTGATAGACACTCTTCGAGGCTAGCTGAATCTCTTCCTGTGTGGGACTTTACAAAGCGATCTTTTCATGACTACTTTACAAATTGATCTTTTCCTATAATATTTTCAAGACTACCTTAAGCTTTACAAGCTTGGCTACATACCACCTACAGGTACTAAAGCCAAGGGTGTACATGAGTGCGTTGTTTGCAAGCACACAGAACGAAGTAACAGGATGTGAAAATCTATTTGTACTGGGTGCAACGAGAGTGAAGTCACTGAGTACCATGGACTACTTCGTTGATTATTACTCACTTCCGAAGTACTGAATGTGTAATACAGTTTGTTACTGTGTAAGTAGTGTGTGAAACTGTACATATTCTAATTTTAGTGAATTTTTAATAAGTAATATTGCGACAATAAACATTTATTGTGGACACGTTACTGACACATGTATCACAGTTCCATGGAACATTATGAACGTTCTACTGTATACATATTGTAAATGACACATATATGCATCATATACTATAAAAAAAACAAATAAAACCACATTGGAAATACATAGAACAAATAATTGAAAATATATTGGTGGCAACACCCGGTGCTTGAATGGCCCGCGTGACCGTGTCTGGGCGTGTCACGCACGGGTGACCAGCCCCTGATGATGTCACAGCACACCTTATCCACGTCTCCACAGCCAAAGTAAGTGGAATTTGGTATTTATTTTTACATAGACATGTTCAGGGAAGAGAATTTATAATTTTACAAAGGAAAACAAATTTTGGGGGAACATTTGATTTCATGCGCACAGGGGGAATTTCACAATAAACTTACCGCATCACAGTGGTTAACTTGCACACAAAATATTTTGCAATTCAGATATACTATATCAAATTATAAAACTTCTATTAAACCTTTGCAGAAACTTAAATAGTTTTCAGACATGAGTTCACTCATGGGCCACTCAAGCTCATGGGTAACCCAAGTTCTCATTCAAAAGAGGGGAAAGAGGAATCAATACCCAGTCTAATAAAAATTCAACCTACCAATCTAGCACTAAATATTAAAGCTTATGCAAGTCATTCCAAGTGAAAGTAAAATAAATCAAGAAATAAAGAAATATATACATATACAGTATATATATATATATATATATATGCAGTATATATACAGTATAAAGTGCAAACAAGCTTAAATGATCCCCAAGCCAATATGCAACTGAAAACTCCCCAACCCTGAAGGATTTGAACCCAGATAGCCAGGGCTCCATGCACCTTAGCGTATCCAGTACTTAACTCACTAGACCACACTGACTTCAAAAGAATTGGAAGTCATCAGACCCTTAACCCAATCCCCAACAGCAATCGGTGGTAAATTTTAGGGACATATTTCATCAAATAACCTCCCATAATGGGGCCACGTGGAGTAACACAAAACCTGGTTGTCTGGGTTCGAATCCTTCAGGGGTGAGGAGTTTTCAGATATATATATATATATATATATATATATATATATATATATATATATATATATATATATATATGTTTCATTGAATATGACCGCATATTCTGTATTTATTATTTTCTGGTTTAGGGCTTCTATCCCTCTAACTATATTCTTAGCATCAGGGCTTAATTGAAATAGGAGTTCTCCAAAACTCATTTTCGTACTTTTAAGGTGAAGAAAAGAAGTGATTTACTATAGAGTGTATTACACTTATTTGTATAATTAGCACGACGTTTCGAACCTCCATGGTTCATTCTCAAGTGAACAGATCTTACAATACTAGTTGATTTTATACCCGCATTAGGTCAGGTGATAATACAATGAAGGTGAAAACATGGGGGGATACATAAGGGATAAACATAGGGGCTGCAGAAGGCTTATTGGCCCATACGAGGCATCTCCTATCTAAACACAAAGATTAATCCAGTGTAATTGGCCTGTTATGTTGGACATTGTCTTCTGTGTTGGCATCGATATGTTCTTGTCTTGTCCTTACTCTCATGGTGGGTAGAGTAAATAGTTCCGTGATTTGGGTGTTCATGGTAGGTCGCTCTATTCTTATGTGAATTGCCTCAAGAATTTGTAATCTTCAATTTGAAGAATTTGAAGATTACAAATTCTTGAGGCAATTCACATAAGAATAGAGCGACCTACCATGAACACCCAAATCACGGAACTATTTACTCTACCCACCATGAGAGTAAGGACAAGACAAGAACATATCGATGCCAACACAGAAGACAATGTCCAACATAACAGGCCAATTACACTGGATTAATCTTTGTGTTTAGATAGGAGATGCCTCGTATGGGCCAATAAGCCTTCTGCAGCCCCTATGTTTATCCCTTATGTATCCCCCCATGTTTTCACCTTCCTTGTATTATCACCTGACCTAATGCGGGTATAAAATCAGCTAGTATTGTAAGATCTGTTCACTTGAGAATGAACCATGGAGGTTCGAAACGTCGTGCTAATTATACAAATAAGTGTAATACACTCTATAGTAAATCACTTCTTTTCTTCACCTTAAAAGTACGAAAATGAGTTTTGGAGAACTCCTATTTCAATTAAGCCCTGATGCTAAGAAAATAGTTAGAGGGATAGAAGCCCTAAACCAGAAAATAATAAATACAGAATATGCGGTCATATTCAATGAAACATGTTTGAAAGAAAACCTGCTGCCAGTATACACCATATATATATATATATATATATATAACTACAGGTATAACTATAACTGAAAACTCACACCCCAGAAGTGACTCGAACCCATACTGCCAGGAGCATTTTGCAACTGGTGTACAGGGCACCTAATCCACTCGACCATTACGACTGGACAAAAGCTGATGGTAGCCGAGGCTACCAATCTCAGATGCGAGGTTTGCATTTGTGTTCCTCACGTGTGCCCCAAAAAATGAGGTGATTTGATAAAATACTATGCCCAAGATTACCATCAGAGTGCAGGCGGGCTGATGGGCAAATAGCCTCGGCTACCATCAGCTTTTGTCCGGTCGTGATGGTCGAGTGGATTAGGTGCCCTGTACACCAGTTGCAAAATGCTCCTGGCAGTATGGGTTCGAGTCACTTCTGGGGTGTGAGTTTTCATTTGTATGTATGCTTGGGGACCATTCAGGCTTGTTTGCACACACACACACACATATATATATATATATATATATATATATATATATATATATATATATATATATATATATATATATATATATATATATATATATATATATATATATATATATGTAAAATGTATACTGTACAGTGAACTGTATATACTGTACAGTATACTATATATACTGTACAGTGCAGTGTATATATATTGTGCAACATAGTAAATATACTATACAGTGAACTGTATATACTGTACAGTATACTATATATGCTGTACAGTGTAGTGTATATATACTGTGCAACATTTATTTATTTATTAATTTATATATATACAAGAAGGTACATTGGGATTGTGAGGATACATAGCATAGTAATTACATTCTTGTAAAGCCACTAGTATGCGCAGCATTTCGGGCAGGTCCTTAATCTTAAACTTGTAAGTAGGTAAATACTTGCAAGATTTATAAAAATGATAACAGTTACATAGCATGAAAAAAAAGATGAGAGAAAAATTGTAGGTATATTAAAGCACATAGGTAGCTCAGAATGATTGCAATGACAGCTTGAATGGTAGTTTAACAAAACTTAGCAGGCACAATACAGCATATGGCTAGCACATAAAAGAAGACAGCAATGAACACAATGATAAAGTTGTTTGGATTAAGTACATAAAGATTGGGAGATTGGGTAACACTAGATAAAGAGCAAGTTTAAAGCTCAGTGTAGGAAACTACGAAGATGAAATTAGGTACTTTTTGTTTTTGTTTTTAAATGAGGCAAAAGTTTGACAGCTTTTCAATTCACTAGGGAGTGAGTTCCATAGACTAGGTCCCTTAATTTGCATAGAGTGTTTACACAGATTAAGTTTGACCCTGGGGATATCAAAGAGATATTTATTTCTGGTGTGGTGATAATGGGTCCTTTGACATCTGTCCAGGGAGAGTTTCAGAGCATGGTTTGCATTTAAGAACAGGGTTTTGTAAATGTAGTTGACACATGAGAATGTGTGGAGGGAGTTAATATTTAGCAAGTTAAGGGATTTAAACAAGGGAGCTGAGTGTTGTCTGAAAGCAGAGTTTGTTATTCTGATAGC